ACACAACCGTGGCAACACCACATTTACAATTTATTACTTTCGTTAAGAAAGCACATGCTGCCTCTATCAGCTGTTTTTAACAAAACACAAATTTTTGTTTTTGTTTATTTGGCGAAATTAAAATTTTATTTGCTAAAATAAAAAGTGCTTAAATTCACACAAAATAAACCTAATCGTTCAAAATCAGGCACCGCTTTTCAAAAGTTCACCTTATTAATTGTAAATCGTCTAGGCGTTCACAACTCCGAAATTAAAAATTCAAAATTTCTAACTAAAAACAATAAAAATTAAGGAGTGATAACCGTTCGCGTGCGTTTTTTTTTCGCTCGTTGAGAAATCCTTGATAACGTGGCATTACTTGAGGAACTGCTGGTATTTTTTTAGTTGTTTTATTACAGCATTAATGTGACATTCAAATTCTTTAAGTTTGACGATTGTTGTTTTCTGATTCCTTTTAACAATGTATATTGTTGCATCAAGAATCGACGTTTGATTTTTTAGAAGTTCTAGTAAATGATTTTCATCATGTGGACTGTAGCATATTCTAAGTCTAGCACTCCAAATAGTGAATGTGCTACATTTCCAATTATATCCAGTGCGGCTCTTTTTTGACAAATAGTCGAGATCATTCTATTATCCAATGATAATTCATCCCTTACATGTTCATAATATTTTAGCAACGCTGTGCAGGTTGAATTTTAATTTAATTGTCCGCATAAGTGTTGTACGGCTATTGTTCCATTATTTAATGCTGCCAGCTCCTGGTGTATTGGGTTTAAGTCATAATAAACAATTAAATTCCCATATGATGCTATCGTTATTGTATACTTTGATTTGAATATGACTTCATGTCATGTCATGACAAAGTTGACTCCATGTGTTACTCTTAAAATGTTGTTAGGTGTTTCCAGTTTTAGTGAGTCTATGCTTGGTTCATGGCTTGTTTGCATATCATGACAGATTGGTTCATCCACCGACAATAGAGGTGCTTTTACAAATTCGTCTAAATGTTTTCACATATGCAACTCGAACGGCGCCATCATTTCCCTTGTATGTTTTTATAGTTCTTCCCAGTTACCAATGTAACACAGGCACACTGTCTTCCTTTATGATCACCATTGTTCCTGGCTGGGCATTTCTTTGTTGTAACTCAGTCAAGTATTCTTGAATCCATCGGTTCCAAAATTGATGTTTTAGGTGAGATACCAACTTCCATCTTGTGAGCAATTCTGCTTGAAGTTGATTTGACGTCACTACTACTGTCAGTGCAGCATAGTCCTTTACGTTATTTGACAGAGGTGTCAATGGACGAGAGTTGAGAATTACTTATATTTCAATTACAACTGTCTCATGTTCTATATGTTAACGATACCTTTGCCACACTTTTCATTAATGATTGCTTCTCTGATTTTACAGCAGCTTCCTAAAGTCCTCCGAAATTAGGTGCTCTTGGGGGTATGAAATTTAATTGAATTCCAACATTTGCACATGTCGTTCTGAATTTTCTTGTGATTCAGCTGCATGTAATAAAGATAATAACTCATTAAGCTTATTGTTAGCTCCTACAAAAGCAGTTGCATTATCACAATCGAATGATTTACAATGACCTCTTCTTCCCAAGAATCGTTTGAGGGATAAATGCGTCAGTACTGAAATCACCAACTACCTCAAGATGAACAGATTTTATTGTGAAACAACAAAATACCGCAAGCTACACTTTAGTAGGCTGCTTGCCGCGTATCATGTATTGTACCAATAGCAGACCACAAAAATCGATACCGGAATGAAGAAAAGGTTGCGCAGGTTCTATTCTTGAACTCGGCAATTTTCCCATAATTTGTTTATACAATGTCGGCCTGGGTCTCTGACACTGAATACAATGTTGAACTACCGAACTCGACATGGATCGTCCCTTGATTGGCCAAAACTTCTGTGGTACTTGTGCTAGCAATGTCTGCGGTCCATAATGCATTTTTTTCTTGTGAGTGTTCTGCATCAATAACTTAACTAATGGGTCATTGTAAAGCAATGTCATTCGATGTTTTGCATCATATAACTTAATAAAAATGTTTCCAATCTTCTTTCAATCCTAATTATCCTATTTATATCAACAAATGGTGCAAGTTCATTTAAAAAGCTACTTGGACTGACTGCATATGATTTCAGCAATTTTCGACTTTCGTCCTTGAAGTCTAAACATTGAAAATTATGTTCAAACTCTGACTTAGTTCTTCTGGAGTTAATAAGATACTGAATTTGCGTTGATGGTTTTTTGCTTTGCATTGTTAAATGAACCTTAGCACATAAGCTACTATTCGGTTCAAAACCTTAAATGAATTTCGATGATTAATTGTGTAGATAATATCTTCTTGACTGGTAGTCGTTGATGCTAACGATGTTGTTTGTTCTTTCAAATCAAATTTGTGTTCATAATTTATGCTGAACTGTTTATCATATGCTACTGGTGATCTTTGTTTATCACCATGTAAAAACAGTGGCCCATAAAACCAAATATGCGATTAAAGCATAGATATTAGATCTCATTCTAACGAGCGCATTTATATCTAATAACATTTTAAATTGGGGGTGTTGGATGAAGATTCCTTATCAAATCATCACTATATACGCTTTGATTAAGAAAGGAAGTTGAAAACACTTTCGAATTAAGAAATGTTAGGAAGACCAACTAGTCCTTAAATAGTTTCTATTTAGAACGAAATATAAGTTGTCTTAAGGGAAAAAAAACTAATTGTCAGAAACAAAACCTTGAAAAAAATTTTTACAGGGGCTGAGAAAATAGCTGTGAAATTGTCAAAAAAAAAAAAAGTTTCATGGTGGAAAAGAGAACTGAACATTTTACGCAAAAAAGACCTTAGCTTCTTAATTGAGCAAAATCCTGCGGGAACTGGTCATCATATAAAAGTGCCTTAATGGCTTACAATAAGAAATTTATAAGGAAATCAAAGAGAGAATCGCTCCCAGCATCTCCACTTTTAGCCCATTTAAATCACCTGGTACCAACAATATACCACCATATTTTCTTCAAAGAGGCGTTCATATGTTGAAGGCATAAGACGGTAAAGAAATAGCACTCTGCACATTAGTTGACATGACAGATGCTTTTAATGATGCTACGTTCAAATCAATTGAAGGAATAATAAGATAAAATTCATAGACTGGTCATAACATAGATTCAGAATATGCAGAGAGATTAACTCTCAAGTCAATCAAAGGATGCCCTCAAGGAAGTGTTCTAGCGGCACTCCTATGACTATTAGTTATTGACGAGCTCTAATAGACTCTTGATGACCTCGAAAATGAAGTTCAGGGCTTTGCAGATGATCTGGTTATCATAGTTACAGGCAAATTTGACTCTATCATAACCGATCAAATGCAAGTACCTCTAGACATCACTCAAGATTGGTGTCATTGAAAAGGACTCTTAAGACTCTCTTAATATTATCCGAAGAAATGAAATTTCTAGAAGTAATTCTAGATAAAACTCGGGTTTTGAAAAACCATTTATCATATATAACTAACAAGGCACTAAAGGTAAATTAAGCGTGTCAAACACTATATGGCGAAACATGGGGTTTACGACCAATAGTTTTTGGTTGGGTTGTACAAAACCGTAATTAGTACCAAAGATCGCATTTTCTTCCTTGGCATAATGGCCAAACGTAAATCAGACAAAGACTACGATGATCCTAAAGATTCATCGAACAGTCTGTCTAAGCGAAACGGCAGCAATGAGAACGTGCCCCACAGAAACCCAGCAATGTTTACTGGACTCACTCTATCACACCTCACAGTTAAACGGACTGCGACCAGTGTAATCTTAATAAAATGTTATCTATGATAAAATGAATAAAAGATTAGTTTTCTCTAGGGAATTCGAGGTGGTAATCAGTGGCCGATTAATTTGGAGAAAAATCGAAATTATCTTAAAACAGGACTCACACTTATGGTATACTGATAAGACCAAAATGGAAGATGGCAGTACAAGAGCAGGAATTATGAGACTGAAATTTCGCAAAGCATTCGCAACGGGAAACCCGCTTCCATTTTTCAGGCAGAGGTTTATGCGTTAGAGCTATGTGCGAGAGAACGCCTACTCAGGGGTACCCAAGGTACGAAAATATGCATTTTTTCGGACAGCCAAGCAGTTCTAAAATCTTTACAAAACTCTTCATTCCAATCAAAATTGATCTGGGAATGCTTTCAACTTCTCAATATCCTAGCATCGAGAAACTATGTTACTCTTATGTAAGTACCGGGACATGAAGGGCATGAGAGCAATGAAATAGCAGACTCCCTAGCAAAGAAGGGTTAGTGTACTTCTTTTATTGGTTCAGAACTCTTCTGCGGGGTAACAAATAGTTTCACAAATAACTTATTATGTGAACGGGAGAAACAAAATCTATTTCAACACTATAGAGCTAAAACAGTCATGCGGCAGTCAAGAAGATTAATTGATCCCGCATACACCAAAGTTGACACTATTTCAAACTTTAGCAGAAACGATATTAAAATCAACACTGAACTTCTTACAGGAGTTCTTCTTCTCACTGTAGACTCAATTACCACATGAAGAATATAGGTGCGGTAAAAAGTCATTCTGTCGACTCTGTCATGAGAAGGAAACATCAGAACATATTCTATGTAACTGCCCAGCGGTGACAAGATGTAAACTTGACTTCTTTTAAAGCGCGAACTCAGTTCCAAATCAAAGAGGTAGAATTAAACTCACATCAATTACAAGATTTATAAATAGACTAGTTTTAGTTGGGCCCTTAGGCACACAATAGATCTTTTGGATTGGTGTGCATTTATAGCATATTATTTAATAATAATAAAATATTTAAAATTAAATAATATTATTATAATAAATCAAAAAATAAATTTTCGATACCAAATTTTCTGGTCTAAAATTAACTTTCTTTTAATTAATGATTTAGTACACAATTTTTTTATAATTTGCTTTCATGTACTTCACCTACCATTTCGCGGCATCGGTTTCCCAAAAGTTGTTAATGCGAATACCTGCTTATGTCGTATAATAAGTAAACCATTATTAAGTATCATCCACCAAAAGAAGCAGTAAATGAACCCCATGTAGATAATGCCTTCCGGCGTTGCTGTTTGTTCACGATAAATAACGTATCTTTAATTTAATAGTTGTGAAATTCACTTGCGGTACAATTTTTCCGAATCACTACAGAATTTTTTTGAATTTAATAGGTTTTAAAAAATGTGCCATAAAGCCCTTGTTGCTATTTCTAGAAATTTTAATATGCAATGAATTTAAGCATGTTTTGTAATAAATTGTTCAGAAGTTTGTATTTACTGTAACTTTTTATTCTGTTTTAGTCGTCAGTTCATTTAAGCCGTTTTAATTACTTAGTGAATATTATTTATTTTTTTTGTGGAAAAATGAGTATGTTTAATTGAGATGGTGTCTTCTGTTAGTGAAATATTGCTAATTTGATTTACGTTGCGATATTATTATGTATTATTCAATACAATTTATCTGAAACTTTACCTGGGTCAATCAGAAATACAACAATATATGACTTTAAAATTATTAATTAAAACCAAAAAATTAATAAACGTATTGAGTTTAAAACATTTACTAATTAAAACAATAAAAGTTAACAAAAAATTTGATATATTTCAAAGTGTTGGATACTTTTGAAGTCATTTCTAGCATACGTTGTATATACTGCAGGGTCAGTCGGCTACAGTTCTTTTCTTAGCTAAATTTTATGACGGTAGACAAGCCAATCCGAATGCAAAATACGTAATATTTCATGTGATAAATTTGTATCTTCTTCGATAATTTTCCTAATACTAATAACAATTTATATCAACAATATATCAACAATATATGTACGTGAAATTATAGACGCAAATAATTTTTAATATCAATAAGTAATTTTTCCTTAAACTTAAAATTGAAGATTATGGATTCCTTGTTGTTAAAATTGTATATTTTATTTATTCCTAATTACTTGGTTAGCAATAACATCATTATATTTCTACATATTTTTGAAGGAAGCCTTACTTAACTAATGTTGTCGTTATCCAAGGTTGGTGTAGCGTTCCCAACATTCTATAAAATATAAATAATTAAAATATATTAACTGAAGTTTCATTAACTACATATCTTTTAAAAGATATGAAAATATTTACAAATTAACAGTGTAAATACTTCAGCTATATAAGCGAGATTGACTTGTTCAGTCAATCTGTTGCAAGTCTAGTGCAAACTTTTTTGTTCTGCAGCTTATTTCCGAAATATAGAATGGCATGTATAAATTTAAGTCAATATCATATTAATAAATATACAGCCATAGTCAAAAGTATTCACACAACGAAAGTTTTTGTATATATTGCATAAAAACATGTTTTTATTGTTGTTGTTGGACGTAAGTTGCAAAAATTTTTTTGTTGTCACTTAGTTTTATCTATGCAGAACCAAATAAAAAACGAATTGGAAAGATAACTGTTCATTTGACAAAAATATAAGTAACTGCGCTGACGCTTATTAGTTGTCAAAAGTATTTACACACATTTTTTTCGCGTCAAAAGTATTTACACAAAATGTTTTTTAGCATTTATTCTAGGATTTCCTTTAAGTAAGTGCAGTTGTTGGCTTTAGTCAAAAGTTACACAAATTTAGAGATTTCAAAATTTCAGACATTATTTAGGAAAACGGTAAAAACCAAGGAATTAGTGTAAAATAAGAACATAAGTGAAAATTTAAAAAATTTGAAAAGGACTGGGCGGATATTTCCCATGAATCAAAGGGAATGCAGAAGATTATTACGAGTAGTCGTAGAAAATCCTACAATAAGTCCTGTCAAAATAGCAGCATCATCGGAAAAGTTGATTGACAATATTATTAGTGATGCTACACTACATCACAGGTTGAAAAATATTAATATCAATACCTATGTGGTGCACAAAAGAGTCAATATTATTTTAAGGACCTTATCAAATACTCTCTCATTTGCTTTGAAGTATTTTAAGTAACCTATACAGTTTTGTTACAATATGTTATGAACAGATGAGTCTGGATTTCAATTCTAGGGTTTATTTGATAACCACTCCATGCATTTACAACTCCAAAAGCATAAAGCAGTACAGCCACTCAACAGATTTGAAGGTGGCATGGTTTTGTTTTGGTGATGTCTATCATGCTATGCACTTGGAGATTTGGTACCAAACAATGGCACCTTAAATCAGTCCAGTTATATTGGAATTTTAAAAACCATGTCATAACGTCAGAAAATAGACCTTTTTCAGTCAATAACTGGGTTCTACAACATGACAATGCAAAATGTCATGAATAATGTAGGCTTAATTCAATTTTAAAAGAGTTAAATCATCTGTTTTTTTATAGCCTGCACAGAGCCCTGGTCTTAATGTCATTGAATATGCAGTGATACCATAACTGAAATAGCGAATATTCGGTCCAAATTGATTCGCAACTTGATTGGATCAATTCCAGCTAGGTTGAGGGGAGTTATTAATACCAAAGGTGGTATAACCAAATATTAATTATATTAATTAATTAATAAAAAAATATTTTTAAAAAATTCATCAATTAAGAAGAAGAAAATGAAATTAACATTTTGTGTAAATACTTTTGACACGAAAAAAATGTGTGTAAATACTTTTGACAACTAATAAGCGTCAGCGCAGTTACTTATATTTTTGTAAAATGAACAGTTTTCTTTCCAATTCGTTTTTTATTTGGTTCTGCATAGATAAAACTAAGTGACAACAAAAAAATTTTTGCAACTTACGTCCAACAACAACAATAAAAACATGTTTTTATGCAATATGTACAAAAACTTTCGTTGTGTAAATACTTTTGACTATGGCTGTATATATGCTGTACATCTGTACTTTATTTGAATTATATATTAAACAGTTAGAGAAAATTATCCCTTTTCTAGGTAAATTCGTCAGCATAAAAGAGAATGGATGTGAGATCCATGTATTTTAAGCGATGTACTATTTAACTTTAGGTTATAGTAAATAAAGAGTTTTGAAGAACTCAGGAAGGATTGAATTAGAAGATAAGATATGAAGAAATTTTATGTGCATTTTTTTATTTACCTCGCTTAAGGGATGAAACACAACGAAACTAACGATACAATGTACCATTGTTTTCTTATTGATTTTAAAATTATTTTGATAATTCCACTTATAAAAATGACGTATTTTTAATTGCCAATATGAACAGCAAAAGAGTTTTGAATACATACATATATATTTTTATATATTCAGGGATATTACTATGAAGTTTGTGTATGAAAAAACTTAGGGTTTCGGAAAGGTCAAGCTTACATTTTCTTGCAACTTGCTTAAATTATAAACACAATATTACAATTTATTGGGTCCAAGTCTAGTAGTAGTAGTAGTTTTGTAGTTTTACTATTTAGAGTAATTTGTTTCAAAAATTATTAGTATTAACCAAAATTACTGCAGTTATATATATATTTAAAGTCGTTTTAAATATATGTTTTTCCGTCCAATAAAAAATAATTTATATAAGACGCAAAATAATTTAAAATAATTATGTGCTAATGTAAACTTTATGGATAAAAATTGGATTAGAAAATATTAGAACATAAATAAAAAAATTAAATTTTATGTGCAGAACAGAACCAGTCGCAGCGAAAGGTTGGACTTTTCAATAAATCCATACTCCGTCAGAGTAAACAAAATCGAACCATGCGCTTCTTTAAAGTAGTAAAAAGCACGGAAAAAGGGCAATCATATAACTAAACGTAAAGTAACCAAAGGAACACGAAAAAAGTATAAAGAGCTAAGTTAGATCAAAAAGCTTTCGTTATGCTTTAATGAAAAGCTTAGTTAAAAACATTGCGAACGGTTTCAGAAGCGACGGGAAGATAATTGAAACGAGTTGGCATATGCAGAATTAATGGTAACAATGGTAAATGAAGATATCACAATAAAAAATGCTTATAACTGTGTACATAATTTCACTTTATTTGTAAGTAAATAATTTATAGTTTCGTGTTGTATATTTAAAAACTTTGTCAGATATTTTGTTAGTGACAATAAATAAGTGTTTTTGCGACAAGAACTGCAAACGAAACACTTAAGAAATTTTGCATACATAAGTTTAATTTTTTTACTGTCTGGTATATGAAATTGCGTATATGAGATAGTATATTACTCTTAACTAACAGCTGTTCGTTTTAGTATATTTATTTCACTTTAAGTAAAAAGATTTTATATCGGTGGTTTTATTAAAGAATTAATTTTATTTATATCTTAATATTGCACTGTCATTTTCTTGTGGTATATTTTTAAAGTATTTTTTATCGGTTTAACCACTTTTCGGCAACAAAACAATATTATTGCCGTAATCAGACACTTCCAATTGAAATACACAATTAAATTCTTTTCCAAAAAGATTAGGAAATGTTCTTAAAAAGAAATAATAATGTATTTGGGTGATACGTTATGTTCGCATTCACGTCTGTATTAATTAAAAGTTTACAGTTAACTGAAACTTATAAAAAACTTACAGCATCGTCTTACTTCGTGTTTGTTGTAAGTGAGCAACATCCAGCATCCTTATATGCTCAAAAGAGCACAACACAAGCTTTGCACTCATGACTTTTGTTAACAAAACCAAATAACGCACAAAGGCAAGGCAAATTTAACTTCATTCAGTGTTCAAACTCAAAATTTTAGTGTATTAGCACTTGACATCAGCAAGACAGAATAGTTATAATATGTTAAATAATTAAAAAACCTTTTATTATTGTAATGGTTAAATTATCACATAAAGAATTGAACTTAAATTTAATAAATGTTGATAAATGGGTAAATTGTAAGTACTTGTAATTTGTTAATGTGTTTATTCTGTAAGCTTTTAGTCCCTTTCGTGTTATACGTCTTTTCATTTGAAAGCTTTTACCCAGCTAGAGATGCAAAAAGTATTTGGCGTTTATTGTTTGCTTGCCTTTGAGTGCAGTGCGACTTTAAAACGGTCAACTGCGTCTGACAAATCCATTTTTTATTTGACATATAACAGATTAGCTAAATAGTGATAAGTATTTCAAACCCTATAACCATCTATTGGTTGAGAAGGCCGACATATAAGCGAGCAACATGACATCTATATGGCACTAAATGTTCATCCCAAAAATGTTGCGACCATTTACATTAAGCTAGGTATGAAAAGTATCGTGATATTTGGGTTTCTCATGAAGCGAGTAAAGTAAACTAAATGAATGAAGTGAGTTTGCATCTTCAAATTGCCCTTAAGCAAAAACAAATTTAACCCATTTTTGAAGATAATGGCATATTTTACTTGAAAATCAATTCGAATTAAAATTTTTCGTATATATGGTTTCAAAGACGCGATTGTTGACAAAATAGGTGATGCGAATTGATTGAATGTGTTATCTATTTGACGCT